AAACACCAGACCTCTTTCTGATTAACAAACTTGTGGCTGATGGAAAACAAATATATTTTGAAAATATAAAAAGCAGTGGGATTTTAACAAAATCTATACTCCCCAAACATGTAATCTGGAAGCCATTAAATCTACAGCCAATCTAAGCATATGCAGGTGTTTGGGGAAAATGCCATTGCTTTCTATTGAAAATTTTTTAAGGGACTATAAAAGAAGTGAGTACAGAGAACACTAAGGAAGGCAATGTTTTATTCCCTGAAGCAAGAAGTCAATTCTAATATTCTCATAGTTCTACAGCAGTTCAGGGACTACATGGACCACTCTTAACTGCATTTATTTTCAATTTTAAATACTCAATGTCTTCCTTAAAAAGAAGAAAATAAAAAGTATTTTCTAGTGCTGGATGACATCAGGTTTCAGCTGAAGTATTCTTTAACCTGCCCACATTTTCCCAAGTAATCCAAGTGGCCATTTTTACAAAAGACTGTAATCTGAGGCATTTGTTGAGAGTGGCATTATATCGAGTCATTAGTCAGAAGGGCACTGCCATGCAAAGAACTCATTTCTCTAATATGGAAAATAGTGAAAATAAATTAGTTAATATTACTAACTACTGTCTCTGCATGACTAGTATACACACAGCCTTCCTTTTCCAATTGCAGAGACTTGCCTTGGCTCACACACTTAGAGGGAAAACCGCATTATGAGTGGCTTTTGAGTAGGAAGACTCCTTGGCCTCTTTGTTCTTCAGGGATGAAGAACAGTGAGTAATCACTTGCTCTTTTGTGTAAGAATAACTATAAGAACAGCTGCTTGTGTGGATTCCCATGAATATATAGAAAAAACAAACAAAAGGCAGTATTTTTTTCACACACTATGGTGCTCAGTGTCATGTGATGTTGTGGGGACTGAAAGTATAGGCAGATTTCAAAGAGATTTTGCATGGACAGCAAACCCACTGATACCTCCTAAATACAGGATGTGCAGTTATGAAGGTGTAAAAAGTTGTGTGTAGGAAGGTGGGAGGACACCACCTGTGAAGGATGCCTCAGTAATTGCTACTCTTCTTCCCCTACCTTCTGCCACTGGCAGATAAAGCCCTGGGTTGGTTGACCCTTGCTCTATGTTAACGTACAGGCTGCCAAGCCAAAGGTATTTGTACTTGAGTGTGAGGCCTAACCCTGACTGTGACTGGATACGAGGGGATCCTGCAGCTTAACCCAACTGATAGAAGTGATGTGGTCCAAGCCAATATGAACATGATTCCTCTAGGCTCTATGCTGAAGTGGGCTCCTACTGCCTACAAAAGCCTGGGAAAAAAATCTGGGAAGAGTGATGATCAGTTGGGTTCAGAACAATGATGATATTGACTTGTCCTGGCTTCAGCTCTAAGTTATTTTTCTCTATCCTAGTAGCTGGTGCAGTGCTGTGTTTTCCACTTTAGCCTGAGAATAACACTAATAACACCAATGTTTTTAGTTGTGCTAAATAATGTTTACTCTGATCAGTAGTTTTGTGTTATACCTTAGTTACTGGATTGTTCTTATCTCAACCTGTGGGAGTTACATTCTTCTGATTCTCTTCCCCATCCCTCCAGGAGTGAGGGGCTGGAGATGCAGGGGAAAAGGGGGAGAGTAAGTGACTGGCTGTGTGGTTCTGGGTTACCGGCTGGGATTATACCACAACATGACTTTTAACGGTATTGCTGTTCTCCCCCTCTTCCATCAAATCACAGGATATATGGATTATTTCCTCAGATGTGTCCTAATTCAAAACAATTTCTCATGTAACAGCTGTTTAGAAATCATAAACCCTCCAGAGCACAAAATTATTTAAGTAATGTTACCTCCTTCAAGACTCAGGGGTAGGAACAACTTGATAAGGACCAGCAAGTAATAAAGAAAGTATATAGGACTTTGCATCCAGAAAATCCCTTTTCTACTGCAGACTCTCAATGTAAATATGGATACAACCAATGGGGGAAAGCAAGGGCAGGAGAGGATAAGTGAGTTAAATGTCATGGATTCGGCAGTTATGGGGACACCTTGGCACCACATACAGCCAAAAAAAAGTTCTTATGTTTCTGGAAAAGTAACTGCACTATTTCCACCCTCCCCCCTTTTTAACCCCCCCCCAGAAAAAAACAGTTCAGCAGACACAGACACTACTTGCCCTTTTTCTGTGTGCTTATTTGTAACAATATCATGTCAGATGAAGCTACCAATACATAAAAATGAGTTCCTAAGGATGTGTAGTGTCTTGTAGTGCTACGAACAACATGCAATTGTGACCAAGCCTTCTGAAGGAACCAAATACACCTGCATCTACCTTGGCCTTCAGGAAGCTCACACCAGTTAGTTTAAGCACCTACAGATACTTGAAAATCAAGAAACCAGCCACTTGGCTGCCTTAATGAACTGTAGTAAGGAAAGTTCCATGTTTTTCCCCCTCCAATAGGGTTAAGGGCTGCAGGAATTCAACAGAACAAAAAAAAAAAAGAACACTAAACTTCCTCCCAGACATTAAATCACCAACATTAATAAACTGTGCAATGAAAAGTAAACAGACTACTTCTGAAATCTTCATCATGTCCCTAAACTAATATTAGGCTCTGTCCAAGGACTTTACAGAAACACAGTCATTAAAAGTGAGAGATTTTTGACTGCAGTTTTGGGACACAAGAACTATGTCAGCACAACGTAAAAACAAGGGAATTTTTTATGCTAATGACAACTGCGAATATTTTATGTATACTTATACATGTAAAAAAATATATTGTAACAGATGTCAAATGCAGTTAGATCCAACTCAACTTATTAGTGCATGGCTTTTAGCCAAAACCAATTCATATTTGCAGAAGTATACTATCACATATGTCTTAACAGAAATGTGTTTTTAAAAATTATGTGCTAAGTCACATATGGTAAAAGGAATCTGTACAGCTTTCAGCCCTTATGACAATGGAAGCTACCAACTTTATTTTGCATTTCTGAAGAACGTTACAATTCAAGTGGAATCCTCTTTGACTTTTGAGAGCTGCAAAACCAATGAGGAAAAGCTAGACAAGAATGAGATGTACTAAGTGTGGCTGTGACACTTACATAAATGCAATCTGTATCTACTATGGCTATCTTACAGACACTATTCTTACTTTTGCCCTGAAAGGCAGTATTTTAGCACACAATCATAATTGTATACAGGTACCTTAAATAGTTACATGCCACTGAAAAATACTAGGCAGATTTTTCTGCTGTTTTGTTATGCAAAGTGTAATTAATATGCACAATGGGTTCCCTAAGGTACTAATTGAAGCTGCCACCATGAACAAAATCAAAGAGAAGTTAAACAACCAGTCGGGGGAAATATGACAGGGTGAAATGTGCCCATGCAGGTGGAAAGAGTGAGAATGTTCATCTGGCCTTCTTCCATTCCAAAATGTTACAGTTACTGAAGTCCTGTAAAGGAACGATTTAACCTAAATCACCCTTCTGCCCCAACTCTCAAATCATCCTGGTGGATTAAGTGGGTATCAGTGTCACATACATGCTGTTTAATGACTGAAAGGATCATGTCTCTGTTATATGTAGGAAAATGCAATTCAGCAGAGCCATTCCTGAGAAGTTTACTCAAAATATTAAACAAAAGTGAATGAAGGATAAAAAACTATTTTGGATTTGTTCTGCAGGACTCTCATCACCTTGGAACTCCTGGGTTCTCTAGAATGTGAGGTGAAAACAGCTCATTTCACATTTGCTATTAAGCAACCAACAACTAACAATGACTTTAATTCAGCTTGCACTGAATCTGAACTAGCCCTGTAGAGAGGTCCCTTGTCTTATCAGAAGTTTCATGTGCTATCAGGTCCCTGCTGAATCCTATTTCTAATTTTTATCAGATTGAATGAAACATAGAGTGATTTATGATTACCCTGCATCTTGCCTAATCACTCCAATGAGGGCTCATACACATTTTGTATTCACTTTATAAGGTGCAAATGTCTATACATGATGGAAGCCAAGTGAGTAGAACTGTATTCTTTTGTTACATGTGCTAAACCACAACGATTTGTGAGTCCTGTCAGTGCATGTTCTTACAAATACAAAACCTCTCCAGCCCAAAAGCCAGCATAATCAGCAAACTGCTATAAAAATAAAAGCATTTCCCCTGTCTATAACAGGAATATACAGTTATTGCGACTTAGTTAAAGCTGCAATGATCACCTCCTGCTGAAGCTAAAAATATGTGTTTTATTGGTACATAAGAGTCCATTAAAACCAGAGTATTCATTATTTAAACTGAATCACTGACTGTTGGTAGCTTTAACTGAAAATGTTTTTTCTCAAAGAGCCAGGACATCTATATAGCAACTTTCTTAATTCAATGATATATGGTTGAGTGTTGACGCTAGTGCCCTAAGATTTAAGAACTTCCCATAAAATGCCCTTGAAATTGCTCCCTAGTAACTTGCTCATCCTTCACACAGCCCTACTGAAAAGAGCGGAAACATTCGTGTGTGTATGGTATGAGATGCACACAGGGAGTGAGAAAGAGCTCTTAATCAACAGGATGGCAAAGCCTTGATACATAGGTGCAAAATATTCCCATGTGTCTAGAAATCATTTGGCACATTCCTAGTTATTTCCCCTCTGTCAGACCTCCTCAAGGATTGCAATTAAAAATCATAATCTTTTTAGCATGTACAAACATCCCCAAGGCTAGGAGCACTATGTATTGAGTATGACTGTGATATTATTTGGCAGCTATTCATAGACAACACATTAGTTTATGGAAACTGGATGAAACTTGGGGAGTGCGATCATTAGGGACACATGAGAAATCGAAAGCTTTCCTCGCTGATACTGACCATTTTATAGCTATGATTAGGGGCATCTCAAATTCTATTATCTCTTTCCTTGCCCTTCTTGCTGTCCTAGTCTTTTTAGTGATCGTATACAACTTGGTTAGACTAGCATTTTCAAATGGATATAAAAATAACTTACTTTACAGGAATATTTCTCAATTTTGTCTTTTCGGCAGCCTGTAAACAGAAGAGGGGTGGGGGAAACAAATAATTAGGCAACACACCAAAGCACAACCAAGCTGCAAGCAAACCTCAACCCGCGGATGCTCTCTGGAAGTGCATACGTCACTCTTCAGGAATACAGCGCTAGAGGTTTTGAACACTTCTGCCCCAGTCTGTGATATCAGCGTGGTTTTAAAGGCCACGAGTGTTTAGGTACTGCTCATTCAGGGCAATTACTTCATTTACCACTCTGAGGTCTGGTCCCTTTGTCACAAGCTATCTATCCATATCTGGAACAAGAACAACAACAGGAAAAAATAATGGGAAGAATGGACTCCATCTCCAAAACAGTTTTTATTCACCAGCAACAGGAAAGGGCAAGGGATGACCAAATGTTTAGATCAATTTCCTCTCGTGAAAACTTTGAGAAAACACACTCCAAATCATCTAAATGAGTAAATCTTTGGCCCTCTCGGCCTGCACCACCTCAGACATGGAGCCTGGTTCCAGTTTATTGCTGAACCCATTGATCTGTGTACAGTCCATTTATCATTCATGAAAAGAGCCAGTGATCTTCACAGTATATTAGAAGAAACAACTCAGATCATCTGTCAACGGCCCTCTTATTTCTGTTTCCCTCTCCACAGGGATTTCATCTCCTTCGATTCTTCTTGAATTAAAATGTTGCTAAGCAACACAGCTGGGGGCAGCGATGGCAGAGCTGCGCCAGTCTATCACACTGGTTAAGCTGCTCGAGATTTTAGTGGAGGTTTTATGCTTTATTAATGCTTCTGTGGCACAATTATGTAATCTGAAACAATCTTGCATCCCCCCTCTGATTTTTCCCAGAACAAGTAAATGATGTTTTAACACAAGAAGGCTTGAAACATCGCCTTTGAATAAACTCATGTGGCTGTATCGTTTCAAAGAACTCCTAGCATTTGCTAGAACCAGACTGTAATAGATTTAAACACGGAAAGTGGTCAGATGGTTAGTGAGATTACAAGCACGGATAGCGGTGAAAGGCAGAATTAAGACAACTGATCCATAAACCTATTATAGTAGGGGAAGTTTTAATGCTTAATTACATTCACAGACATTTTTATAAAGCCTATCAAAATTAAGAAGGGGGTTGGTGAGGAACTTTAACCTCTGCCATGCTTAAGGATGGGAATGAAAAGGTTCCCACATAGGAACTGCTAATGTTAGCAGTCCTGAAAAATGCTCACGTTGCCTTTGAGGAATTAAATCTTTTATGAAAACCTTTTGAAACCTCTGGGACCTGCACAACTGGGTTCCAAATTTTGCCAGAATGAGTTTTCCTCTGGACGCTACAACAGGGCTATTTTTCAAAATACCTGCTGTTTTGGCACTTTTGCGTCCAGTCATAGCAAACATAAAATCTGTGTTTAAATCCATGGAAATCCCCAATAATGAGTTTAAAATATGGGAGAAGGAATTAGAGCTTGCGAGAGCTAAGACGGGAAAACAGCAATCCTCTGGGCTGGCTCCCAGTGTGCAAATAAAATATGGACTTTTTCATTTGGACTGTATCTTCCATCTAAAGAATAAATCAATGAATGCATGATAGGAAACAATTATACTAATTGTACAGTAGGGTTGCTAAATAAAACATTTAAACCTCAGGAAATGCTAAACTCGAGATTGTACAAGTAAGTGTTACAGACCCAAACCTAATTATGTACTCTCAAACAGGCATATGATGAACTGGGATCCCTGCCTCACTAGTGAGATAATGCGAGTTGCACCTCTTTCCAATGACACTTTCCCAAATCTCCCCTTTTCAGGAGTGCAAATACAGAGTCAGAAGCATGTTTTTAAGAAATCTTTCTGAGTAATAAAACGCATGTAGCAACACAAAAATGCTTCATTTAAAATGGATTAAAACACCATCAAAAATGGCATTTCAGTTTCCCAAGCCTCCCACTAAACGCCAATTTCAGTCCCATCCTACAGAGAGCTCAGATTATTTTTAAAGCTCATAAAGAGCCTTCCACAATGGCAGAGGTTTTTTTGATTGTACAATGGTATTTTGCTTGACCCTTTTATATACCAAATAGCTGGGCTACTACAATTTTGAGTTCAAGCATGTGAAGCTTGCATCTAAATCAGTTTTTCCCCCCTGAATTATTCAAAAATCACTACACAAAATCTGATACCAAAATACAGATAAAGAAAAGAGAACAGAAGAGTGAAGAGTGTCTAGGATCACAAGTAAATAATAATGCAGTCAATTCTAATACAAAGTATAGCAGAAGATATTCTGGGAAGTAGGTGCATGATGGTGTGAGCTAAGCTGTTTACATGAAAGATTAAAGAAGAGGAAGATATTTCAGGGAGTAAGAATTGGCAATGTCAAAGTCACAGAATACTAAAGAGTAGAGTCTAAACTGGATATTTGATTTTCTGATTACTTAGCTGCGCTGATGGCAACTGTTTACCCTGAAAAAAATGTGGTAGCTTTCAGAAGAATTACAGATATATGCTATTATCTTGGACCATGATGATTCTAGCACTTATCTTTCCTTAGGTTTTTACATGAGGAATTTCCACATTTTATCCCTTTGTTACTGAGAGAAGGCACTTTCCTAACTTTTAAGAAAAGACACATGCTGGAGGGACACATGGGTCCTCCACACACAGGTTCATTCACAAAGAGCTTTAAAAAATCTTGCAAACTCTCAGGTTAATCTACATGCCATCATAGTTTAATGTTGGATGGTCAAGCAACTGGTCATTTCCTATTACAAGTGATTCAGTTTGCCTCTGAGTGGGTTTGTGGTGATGTTAAACACAGCACAGAATGCATGTCAGGGATTCTGTCTGAGACAAAAATGCAGGATCTGGCCTTCTGCTTTTATTTGTCTTACAGGTGTTGCTCATTCATTTTTCAAAGTGTATTTGTTGCGGTATCATGAGCATGCCCAGTGCAGAAGATAAAGGCAGGCAAAATCAAAGTGACATTAAGTAATTCTACACGTTAAGCTTTGATGCAGAAACATATTATCTGAAAATATTTGGTGTGTAGCAGGTCTGTCAATTAGAGCTAATTATTTTTCTCTGATCAGGAAGAACGCAATCATGTTTTAGGCAGGTTTCTTTGAAATGTACGTCTTTTATATAACTTCATTATAGGAAAATACTCCTTCCAAATTACTTTTTTTTTCTGGGCTGCTTAGCTATTGACTCAAATTGTCTGTGTTGAGTAGTTCCCTCTGCTTTGATAATTAACTTTTGATCATTACTGAATTTAGCAGCTCTAGTCAGATGTGTTCGTAGCCATCCTCCTCAACTATTTCAGTGTTCATCGCCTTTAATCTCTGAACAAAATGATCTCATTGAGCCTCCATCAGCCTTGCTACTCAGTTAATAATTCCTTTTTCTCATCTTCATGACTGAGTTTGATTTGTTTTAGACTTGATGCAAGCTTTACATTATTAATTTAAGATATTTCAAAGAAAAACATTTTTTAAGAGTTATTTTTTATATTTCTTTTCAAATAAGAAACTGGGTTTAAATCCACAACAATTCCAAAACTTCATGTATTAAAAGTACTATCTAGAAACAGAGCCGGTAGAAGGTCTCTAAACATTACGCCCTGAGTGGGAGATGATGTGCAGAAGATTGGAATGAAATCAGACTGGTATAATGAAATATTCAATGGGTGTTAGGAGAATTACATCATGGGACCTTTGTTAATTTTGAGCTTGAAAACATGCACTAAAATAATTTAGGATGATTAGAAAATGGAAGCCAGAGTGAACCAGACAATCATTTCACTTTAATTGCAATTTCCTTCTGATTTTTATTTTACATTTATGGCCTTTCCATAACTGTGCCTCTGCTCTCTAAGACCTTATTTCAACAGCTGACTCTAGTGTTGAATAAGAAGGAAGATGATGAAGAATACATGAAAAGCAGTAAGATATACAGGATCACCTATTAGAGAATATTTGCCCAGAGATGTTTTCCCATGACTTTTAAAACTGCGAATGACTCCTACCTCTTATGTTGCTTATACCTTATTTTGACACTAGGTCTTTCAGCTTGAGTTCAAGAACCACCACAGGTTCTTAGTTCTTAGCAGGTATTTAACTATTACACAGAACAGTAAACATGCAAACAAGCACAGACTGCTATGATTTCCTGTGGAGGACAAGAATGTAGTGCACAGCAAACAAACCATCCAAAACTGTGCTGGGAATCAGAAAACCCAAACAGAAGTGCTCAACGATTAGAATGTGATGATCCATGCATGAATGTGTGTTATGCTCCTTTTTTCCCCCTTCTTTACTTCGCGCGTTACACTCTGCTCTACTTGTCCCCTAATGTCAACAGAGGAGATTGTATTTCTTTCTTGCTAACTGCCTTTGACATGAAGTTGGCAATCTTATATTTGAGATCCTGTGTGTGATGTTCTATGTGAGTCTCACCTCGAGGACAAGTCCAATGTTACTGTGCCTAGGACCAAAACCAATGGAGAATATTCTCTCCTCATCATACCGTATTTTTAAAAAATGAGCATTTTTCTTTCAGAAGCCAAACATGTGAGATGGATCAGCTAAGATCCATTTTTTTAAATATCTAGTTACCAAATGTGTTATCTACAAATCAGAACAGTTCATTGAACTCTGTGTATAAACCAGAGAGAGCTTCTCATCGCTGCTTTGCGCAATGCAGTAACTTTCATGGCTTCACAGAGAGATGCTCAAGAATACTTGAAATACTGGAAATTTAATTTCAATTGGTGCGATGGAGGCTGGCTAAAAGGAAAAACAGAGTTTAAGTGACCAAACCTAAACCAGTCTACCTGTGGGTTAGGAGTCACCTTCATCCTTGATGTAAGAGAACTGTTAATTGAGCAACAAGAGATGAATTTGGGCTTCTGCCAGCATTTTTTCCCAAATCCCTATGTTTCCCTCAGGCCAATCAAACTAAGAAAATGTGCAAGATAAACGTGGCCACTTCCCATTCCTGAAGGAGTATTCCATGTT